GGAACATGCGACAGTAGAGGAGTTTGCGGCGTCGACGTTCTCGTCAATAAGAGTTTCATCATGAACATTTATTCATTCGAACAACTAACAACGTGAATCGCACGTCTACCAATGAAGAGATGTCAGTTAATACTGGTTCTGACGATCTTCGTCACCTAGGCACCGACATCAAACTATGACGAAGAAGAAGTCGAAGCGTTCTATGTGGACTTGGAGGAGTTCTACAGAGAAGACCATATATTCTTCAAGATCATCACTGGAGATTTCAACGCCGAGATTGGACCAAGAAGAACGTCTGAAGAACGTCACATTGGGACCCACGAATTAGAATGGAACGAACAGGGTGAGCGGCTCTCTGAGTTTATCATGGCGACCAAGACCATCCATGGTAACTCGCAATTCGAGAAGCCCCACCCTCAACGCTGGACGCGGGAGTCTCCCTATGGAGAGTACCATAACGAAATAGACCACATCATAGTAAATAGAAGGTTTTGCCTAACCGATATCGCTGTTGTCCCAAAATTCTACACGAGATCAGACCACCTTCTCCTTCGTGCAAGATTCTATTTCTCGCGGAAAGGAGAAAAAGCCGCTAAATTCAAAAATCGAAGTCCCAGAACCACCGTAAACTGAGACGCTGGGACTTATTCAATTCATTAGTCGGCTGTTAGGAAGATACCGTTACAGAAAACATTGGCGAAGAAAATGACCTGATCATTCAACATCACGTTAGCGCTATGAAAGCTGAGAGTTTGACAAGAGACGTCTGTCTCCAGGAACACTCGAGTAAAAGAACCTGATACGCCAGTGTGGAATTGCACGAACCACAGGCAACCGCCAACTCACGTCTGAACATTCAAAAAAAGGCAGACAAGCGATAAAAGAAGGAATTAAAGAGTGAAGAGCCGCAGCTGTGATCGAAGCTGCAGAGCTGAGAAAAACATTCACAAAGCCCACCGAGACTTCGCCAATTACAAAACCAAGCTGATTGTAATTCGACGCCTAGAAAGAACAGTTACAGCTTTCGGAAAGGCAATGGAGAAAATCATTCACGAATACTACTCAGCTCTCTTCGATACCCACGCCCACCTTCCGTCGAATGAAATAAAAGATGATGGATATATTGTACCACCGGTTCTCCCTTCCGAAATCCGACATGCTACATCGTGGGTGAAGAATCGAACAATACCAGGACTGGAAAAGATAGGACCTGAACACCTGACGAACTTCCTGCCAATCGTCACAAACACACTGTCTAGGCTCTTTATACGTTACCTGACTGAATGCAAGGACCCTACTCAGTGGAAGACCAGCAAGACCGTGTTATTCTTCAAGAAGGGTGACCTACACGATATCGGCAACTATCGCCCAATCTGCTTACTGTCTGTCGTCTACAAACTTTTCACTCGAGTCATCCTAAACATGATTGACAGAACACTCGACGAAGGACAGCCATGTGAGTAAGCATGATTTCGAAAAGGATTCAGTACGATGGACCACATCCACACGATAATAAGACTCACTGAAGTATCGCGAGAGTACAAAAGACCGCTCTGTCTCACTTTCATCGATTTACAGAAGATCTTTGATTCAATTGAGATTGAAGCAGTCTTGGAAGCCCTTGACAATCAAGGAGTCCCTATTCAGTACATAAAGATTCTTCGTGTGCTATACAAAAATTTCGCAACCAAGATATCACTATTCTGCAACGATATTAACATCGACGTCACAAGACGGGTTAGGCAAGGCGACAGCATCTCGCCAAAATTATTTACCGCCACCATCGAAAACGTCATGCGAACATTGGAATGGCACAACACGGAAGTGAAAATCAATGTTCCGCAATTACATCATCTCCGTTTTTCTGATGACATCATTCTTATAACACGAAACATTAGCCAAGCGGAACCTATGCTTGCCGACTTTGATAAAGTTTATGGAAAGATTGGTCTTCGGCTAAATCTCACAAAAACGATGTTCATGAGGAACGGATTGGTTACGTATACCCTATTCACGGACAATGGGATGAATATGTCCGAATGCTCCAGTTAACTTCTATCTAGGTTAGGAAATTAAAATGATGAGCGACTTAGCTCCAGAGTTGAGCAGGAAGGAACGAGCACCTTATGAAGCTTTCATGAGCATCGAGGATGTAGCGAATAGAACAAAGAACTGCCTTGACGTACACGTCAGAAAGCTGGTCAATGCATACGCAGGATGGAAGATTACACAGCGTTATTGAATGCGCTGTCGACAGGACGATGCAAGGAGTATCCCGTTTCACACAAGTAAGGGAAGGGATCCAAAGCTCCGACCTGCGTCAACTATCAGAAATCTAAGATGCCGTTCTGTATGCCAAACGGTCGAAGATAAGGTAGGCCGGACAAGCAATGCGTATGAACAACCCATAGGCATAAGCCGTTAATGACTGGATTGCTGGAGGTTTCAAACGTACGCAGGAAGATCCACCGATCCGATGGTAAGAGTTCTTCACGAAAATCGTAAAAGAAAGATATGGTGCTCAAAGAGTTCCTAGGCAAGATTTATCGGCGCCTGCTTGAGTCACCCAAAGGTCAACGGGCGACAAGTAATGCAGGTGATGACAGATGTTTTACCAAAATCGGTGTTCTTAACCTTCTTCTGGTTGAAAACGGAGTGAATACATGATACCTAATACAAATAAAACCGGTTAAGAAAGAAGGAAAAAGTAGGACGAAATCGAAAAAATTCATTATGACAACGCATATACGACGATCTGTCCCAATGTGGGGACACGTGATCGATGTGCTCCACTTTTGAACTGATTCTTCTCTATCACCTTAGAATCTGAGTGATAAGAATGCAGATTCCCTCTCCAGCCCGAAAAATACAAAAGTTTTGGGAAATGGGAGGAATGTATGATTTATACGACGCCAAAAAGAAAAGCGAGAGATTAACGCATAACACCCGAAGCTGGTTTTTTTTTGACAACTGACAATAATTTTTTTGACTACTGGAGCATTTTAGGAGCTCGAAACCTTTACAGCAGGACGCCTCTACGTACCACCTTAACCATCTATTTAGTTCATGTGAAATGTTACTTGAGTCTTAAACACGTTCATAACGAAAAATTCTTTAAAAACGAAAACGTAATTTGAAATTTTAAAGCTTCCAACGCAAGAACAGAGGGAGCCAATGTGAACGATAAAATAAAAAAAGGATAAAGCTCCCGACGTTGATCAGTCCCTAAGAGATGCGTCATGCATTCGACTTAATTAAGCATCGTTTGGAGATGATTGAGTGCATATCTGGTCTTTACAATGACCCGCAGTGGCCTACCGATCCATCGAGCCAGTGCTGCTACTCTCCCAGACAAGTCTGGTAGCAATTTTCCGACCCCGGAGGAATGGACGGCTTGGTGAGCCATGGGCACGGAGACCGATTCTGCGTGTGTTGCAGGGCGCCTCTTGGCACTACGCCACACGCGCCGTTATATAAACGATGCATTTCGGAATTGCTTTGATAGATAGATCCCTCCTCTGTTCATTTGCATTCGAAATACTAGCATTCACGAAAAAAACCTGTTTTCTGAGATCCGGAGAACAAAAATATTTTTTTAGAAGACCCGACATCCCAAGTTGTGCAGATCCCAGCATTTGCGTTTGATTTGCTTCCTCGCGTTTATCATGAACAAGGATCTTCCAGCTTAGCATTTGGGTTCGGCTACTGCTTGGGGATTTTCCTCTTCTTCATGGAAATGGTTCAATGCTGGCTCAGGCGATTTTCTTTGGAATCTTGGGATAGTCATGCTAGGGCGTTCGAAAGTCTCCATCACAGCTAGTCGTTAGCTTTTGTGGATTGAATGGAGTGCGCTGATCCCAGACAAGTCGTCCAGTACCAATTTCCTGACGCAGAAAGGGTAGGAGGGCTGGTCTTCCAGAACGCGGCCGAACTACTTGTTTTTATTGCAACTGATAAAGTACAAAATTAGCCCAGACACATCGGTTTAAAGCAAAAACGACTATTATTGCTGCATAATACGCGTGGACATCAACACGCATCGTTCTGGATGTGTTAATGATTATGATTGGCCATCTATTTATTATGAGTGGAAAGAAGCTGTTCCCGGACCACGATAGGCCTAACACCTTTTATGAGGGAGGTATCGATTGGATACAAAAACTGTACCAAACAAAATTCTGAAAAGAATAAAATGATAGAAAAGATGGGGAAAAGAATGAAAGGAGGAAAAAAGACAGTCATATAGGACTCATTCGATCCACTGTGTCGCGACTATCACGTTCTGGAGGTCAACTGGTTTCGATAATGCTAAATCCATGAATGAATGGTCTGGTCGAAGCTGTGAGCTGACGGAAAGATTGCACAAGTGTTTCTCATGGAAAAAAAAGATCGAAAAACTGCAGGAATTCGCTGCTTATGGTTCCTATCAAAGAAACACCACTGAGAAGTCCACCGTGTCACTTCCTTCAGCTTGACCATCGCAGGATTCGGTGGATGTCTTTATCGCAGAATGAAATCTTTTCAAACTATAGAGCTTTTCAGCGAAGTAGCAAGGAAATAAGAACTGAAGGATCAACTTCTACGCCCATTGAGCCTCTTGAAACGATGGAATGAGACGAAATGAGAAATGAAATCAATGCGAGACGGCTAGCGGCGTTAGCCCAAACACGTAACGAACGGCCGACGCTCGACTTTGACTGGTTGCCGCGTTGGACGTACCTAGTTCTATGGTCGTTCCAAAGAACGCAAAACTCGTCCGCGATCTAAAACGGCAATGCTGGTTTCTTGATATTAAAAGATAAATTCTCGGAGGATAGAATAGTAGTCAGAGAACGTCACAAAGTTATAGAAGAAGCTTTGCTTTATCCATCTAGGGATATACGTGTCCTTGTTCCTACATTTTACTGTCGTTCACAATCCGAACATACCGTTGGTAGCGTTTGGCAGGACTTCATATAACCTATGTTGAGGTCTGAAGGACCTCCTGTTCTTGAAAGTCGATGGCTGACGATTCAGTGACTTCGCCTTCTTCAGACAGTCTCATCGAATGCTGTTATGAATCGAACATGAATCATTGTTATTCATCACATGGGAACTACATACGGGTGCTCTCCCTCACTGCGAAGGAAAACGGCTCTGAAGAAGACAGAGTCGCTCTGTCGAAGAACCTAACGAAGGTGAATCTGAGAAAACAGTTTGAACAGAAAGTCGGACCTTGTAAGATGAAAGTGTTGGTGATGCCAATGGTTGTTGGATGGCTTTGCAATGTGATGCCTTACAAGATGTTGATCATCTAGCACTGTGAATTTGGGATGCATCCATAAATCCTTCCTCGGTGCACAAAACCAAAAGACTTCTATAAATTATTTATAGCCGATACTTATCAGATGGTTACCTCTTGGCGCTTAGTGGGAGAGCCGTCTTCTGCCACTATATTCCACATAACCGGTGCAAGTGCGGACTGGAGTTCAATCCGACCTCGAGATTTAGCTACATCTGAAGAATTTTTGTATTTACTGTTAACTATCCTTCCGTAAATGGAGATATGGAATACAATGTAGTGATAAAGACTATATCAGATTTGGCAGATGAAGAAAGGCAGCTGCACACCGATAGTTGGTACATAAGTCCTCTCTTGGCTGACGACTTACTTTGAAGAAGGGCGCATCCTATCGACAACTGTAGGTAAAAACAGGACAGGACATCCCAATCAATTCATTCACCGAAAGCTAGGTAGTGGACAGCAAGTTGCCAACAGAGTGGGAGCGGTACAATCAATAGTGTTGAAAAATAAAGATAAAAAGAGCTATCTATAACGCTGAGATATTTGCAAAACTCCGGACCGCAGGTGTCTGCGGTGGGGAACGAACGCGGTATTGTCCTTTCCAGGGAGTAACGCGTTCACCACCACACCATGCGGGTCCTTCGTTTCGTCTGTCTCTCAGCTAGTTCTATTGATCTTTTGCCATAGAGCTATAGAACTAGCTGAGAGGAGCTAGATAGAAGTAGCTGAGAGACAGGCGAAACGAAGGACCCGCATGGTGCGGTTGTGAACGCGTTACTCCCTGGAAAGGACAATAGCGCGTTCGTTCCCCACCGCATACACCTGCGGTCCGGAGTTTTGCAAATATCTCAGCATTATAGTAGTTATATTTCGCAACATACCCTGCCGTTAAAAAGAATAGGCAGTAAATAGAAATGTTGAAAAGAACTATATTATTACGTTGTCCACAATTCACGACGCTATTGTCTACCTTAGCTCCGCGGGTAATTGAAAGTCACAACCAGGGAAAGTCCTTTCTGAACAGAAGCGACGAGATGAAAAACTCTGCCCATACGTTAAAAGGACTCGGAATTTGCACTCGCATCTCCGCTTCTTCGTGCTTGACCCTTCTTTCAGCCTTTGTTTAGCTTCGTACGTAAAGAGTGTACATCTTCGGTATGACGTTCTATATGAACTTTACCGATTTTAGGTAAAAACTCAAGATTTCCTGCCTGCAATTATTGGCTTTATTAGAAACAGAAGCCGGATGTGAAGGTTATATGTAAGAATTGCAAGCTATATGTGAAGACTGCGGCGTAGTGGTCAGAGGCGCCCTGCAACACACACGTGGAATCGACGTCCGCGCCCATGGCCCACCAAGCCTTCCATCCATCCGAGGTCGGCAAATTCGTACCAGACTTGTCTAGGAGGATAGCAGCACAGGCATGATACATCGGTAGGCCACCACCATTCATTGTAAAGGCCAGATATGCATTTAATCACCTGCAAACGATGCTTAATAAAGTCAAGTGCACCTTGCATCCCTCAGGGATTGATCAACGCCGAAAGCTTTACCCTTTATCATTTTATGTAAAGACTAATTAATTAGTGCTAATTATATATGGAGTACACATATTGTATAAATGTATAACACATACATTGTAGGTTTTAAGAAGAATGCTATTGAGGACGTTTAAAACAGTAGAAAGAATCCATACATGTAAAGGCAAGCTGTGTTGAAACATGTTGATGAACGCTGCACACAATATGAACATTGAGTAACTTCGAAAAAGGCTCTTTAATAATCTATCATTATCATCTTTTAGTAGCGAAGAGTTGTTTTTAAGCGGTGTATTCCAGTGTTCAAGTAAATGACACTCTCTTCAGTAACAATGGTCCCTCGTCGCAAAATGAACTGGTCCACAAAGGGGTCTTCTTCGTGAAATATTCAGTGAAGAGAATAGGTTTTCATCGACCACGTCTGATAAAACATCCGTGCTGGACAAGATATCTAGTGGATTCAAGGAATGCGGTAAAGAAGCCGTGTGTACTAAAACAACCCACTGAGGAGGAGCACTGGTTCGATCCCGCATCAGCCCAATGAGGTTTCCTGTTACTTCAAGTGGGAACAGTGGTACAGTCTGGAAGGTATATTAATTATAAAACGCCACAATTCCGTAACACGGCTATCTCCAAATTCCAGAGAGAACAGACTTGACCAGTACTCAACGAAATTCATAGGAAAAACCAAAAATCCTCTGGGAACCTCACTCGGTGGTGCCCTTTTATACACGACGGATGTTGGTCGTTTCCGGTCATCGAATATGATCTGCTTTTTAGTGGACAATACGGACCTGTGGCAATTGGTACCTCATTCGCTGGCACGTGGCCACATCAATTCGATGTCATAACTCTTGTAGAAATGCCATGTTAGAAGAAAATTTCTCACTCAACCGAATAGTACGCGAGCTATGTAGTTTCTTAAGAGGCAATCTGTCGAAGAGTAAGGTATCGCCAATATGTTCCGCATCTGTTGGCAACAAAGTTGATCGATCAAAGTGTAAAGCATCAGAATCGACATATCATAACCAACGAAGCATAATTTTATTCCATCATCGTCAACGAGGCATAATTTTATTCCGTTCTAGCCTTCTGGAATCCATGAATCTCCTAAGAACATTTCTTTCAAGTACATATCGAAGTGCTTGAAAAGTTGCTGTCATTTGGGTAGAAGTCTAGCAAGTATGGTAAATAAAGCACAGTTTCGTGTTCTGATCCTTTCAACTATTACAGTGTCTTCATTCGATTGGTCAGTTCCGGCCACCAAAACTTCGACTTATTGGGCTTTTTGTAGACTTTCCCACCTTAAGGGCGCGTGTAGCGCAGTGGAATCGATCCCTGCGTCCATGACCCACCAAGCCTTCCATCTCTTCGGGGTCGGCAAATTGGTACCAGACTAGTCTGGGACGATAGCAGCACTGGTTCGATACATCGGTAGGCCACTGCGAGTCATTGTAAAGGCCAGATATGCATTCAATCATCTCCAACAATATTTGATGAAGTCGAATGCATGGCGCATCCCTCAGGGACTGCTCAACGCCGACAGCTTTATCCTTTATCCTGACTTTAATATTACATTGTGAAGAGCTCACCACGACCTAAGTATCTGTGTAAGTAATCCCATCTATGAAGTTTGAAAAAGTTATCGTAGTTTCTTTCCGAAGGAAGCTTGGCTTCGACGTGTTTCGGCGCTTCAACTTCGCCAAACCTCGCAGAATATAACGTCGTTAGTCGGGCAGAATCCAATTTTACTTGCATGTGAGACCACGACAAATCAAAGAAGAGTTCTCGTCCGGTTGAAGAAACGATAATAAACAGCTCTTTATTTTTTGTTCGATTTATTCAGCAACCATCTTCCGACGTTACAGCTCGGTCGTATCGCGAAATCACGCCTATAACTTCACTCCCTGTTCTTCTTCAACCTCTAAAACTAACGAGCCCGGATGTATTTCATCTAAAGTCTTCAAAAACAGCGCGTGTAACGCATTTATCGGAGGTGTCCAGCAACACGGACGGGATCCATCCCAGCGCCTCAGGCTCACCAAGCCCTCCATCGCTCTCGGGTCGGCGAATTGGTGCCAGAATTATCTGGGAGAATGGCAGCAGTGACCTGATACGTCGCTAGGCCACCGTAGGTCATTGTAGAGGACAGATATCCATTCACTCACCTCCAAAAGACGCTTATTGATGTCAAATGCATTGCGCATTATTTTTAACGTCTTCAAATAGTCTGTTTTCTGTTACCAATTCTGTGCACAAATGTAAAAGTGCTGTTAAGAACCTTCATGTTCAAATTCACAAAAAATTGTCACAACCTGTTTTCATTTCCACTTGAGTCACCCAGATTGAGAACAAAACAAAGGCAAAACTACGCCATTGCATTTTGTAACGCTCAAGGTCTGCTTCGAATCGGCCCTAAACCGAGCCTCTCATCTCTACATGGTCCGGAAAATAGGTGCCAGACTTGTATTGGAAGCTCTCTCCAATCCGAAAACGCCGGTGACTCGCTGTGGTGAAAATTACCGAACGTCCTAGCACGGCTAGCCCACGATTCTAGGCAGAATGGCTTTCATAGCGAGCAAAAAAAACGACGTTTATGAAAAAGACCAAGTCCTTAAATGGTATCCGAAGCCACATCCAAAGACAAAGAACCTCGTGTATAATGTATGCGAGAAGAAGAACACAATGAAAGAAACAAAACCTTGATGGCAAAGGAACAAATCTGAGCAAACAGTAGTAAATGTTTTGGATCGATGGTCAAAATACGTCCTAGGAAAACATCAACATACCAACATATGCAGTTTGGATATGCAGTAGTTATAGGCATATGAAGTCAAACCAGTCCTCGTGTGCCAAAAACAGGACTCCATCCCCCGAACCCGCATAAGTATCATAACAAACACATGGTTGCTTTTGATTCCAGTTGAATCACTTCCTTCTCGTCGTCCACTTTTGGCAGAATAATTCATTAGGGCTTCACTTCTGACAAGAATGCTTCGCAGGCGTATCAACTCACTTGCATCATCCGAAACCCCCAAACCATCGAATAACTTGTGATAGAATCAGGTAACTCCAATTACCCGTTGTGCACCAGAGATACACAATTGTCACCACTTCCCAAAGGCTCCAAGGTTCTCTACAATTTTGGCACGTGTTTTTCAAAAATAGTAATTACAAGAACGTAGCTCGCCGAGTTCTTCAGCCACAAAAGTTTAACCCTATTTCAGCTTCCGCATCCCAATGCCTATTCCCTCAATTAAAATGGAGCCCCTCTCTCCATTGCACTCTGTCAACAAAGAACACATCCCTGTCACGATGAGGCAGTAACTCGTTGGAAGAATATACCAATTTCTACAAATTTACTTATGTAACCCATCTTCATACATACTGTGCAGACAGGTCAATTTCCTTTAATCGCCCCACCGTCTTGCAGTCGTCACCGCCCAAGGTCCTCGGATTTGCGTACGGGCTCGG